ACGATCGATCGTTTGTTGTCGTGAACGATTTATTACGTTGTGGGCCTATAGCTGTTTATTTATCGGAACCCAGAACGTCGATTTTACCGCGGGCCCGGCTTTCTTTATTCACCGCTATTTGTCGCTCAATTAATTTCCACATTCCCGCGAATCATTCTCTCGAGATTACAATCGAAGAGAAATCTCCTTCGCTAATCAGGAGAGTCTAACGAGTTTGTCAGCCTACAAACTTATTTCTGATTTCCCTACGCAAATCGTTTCCATAGAAATTGCGGTCATTGTTACTTGCCAACCGAGGCTCGGTGCTTCGACGAGCAAGTTTGGTTCTCGACAATAAGGGTCGCGCGGCCAACACGCGGCCATTAATTCGCCGTTACCCGTTCGGGAACTCGGCTTTTCGTCCGACAAAATTTTCTCATAAGACACGGGGCCGTTCGCGGAGCTTCGCGAAACGCTGAAGGCAGCGAGCGAACGATGAAACTTTTCTTCGGCGACGCGGGCCGCTTCCCTTCAACGATATTCGACGTCGATCGCTCGTTCCGGATTACGAGGAAGGATTCTGCTTATCGATACGCCGCTCCGCTCGGCTCCGCGTGGCGTCGCGAGCAGCCGGAATCGGCGAACGTCACAGAATTCGCTCGGAAATTTAGCGATTCCATCCCGCGGGAGACGGGGAGAGCCTTCTGCTCAGCGCGTTATTGCGCCAATAAAAAACCCGTTAATGGATCAATTACACAACGCGCGAGTCGTTTATATATCGATCTCAAGTTCAGCCACCTCTCACCGACGCTATGTTTATTGCTTGTCGCAGGTTCATCGCGCGCGTCTCACGTTCGACGACGATTTTGCGGGAAAAGGTTCGTTTTCTTCTCTTATTTCTACTGTTAGTAGTTCGACACGACGTTTCCTCGATCCGCGAAACTTGGGATATTTACTATCCTGGACGATATCCTGCTGCTTCATCCGGGAAAGAATTCGCAGAACGACGATCGATTTGCTAGGCTATCTGAGTTAAGTTTCTTAGGCAATTGAAAGGATTTATTTTAAATAATTACGTGCCTTTTCGCGTAAATAAATGTAGATTCTTAACTAATGAATAACGATATATAACATCAAAGGTACTTAAAAGGATTTTAACGCTAGATTTACGGAGCACCAAAAACAGCTGTTTTATATTAGTTTATATAAGTAACAATAAGACATTTATTGTGATTGTTAACGAATATTATTGTAACATTTGCCGTGAGTAACATATAAATTGAATAAGTAACTCGTAAATGTATCTTTACGATACGAATAATGGTAAATTAAAAAATTAGTGACCCGTCATTTTAACGGGTTTCGTAAATCTAGTGTTAAATAGCAAGCTTTGTACTCTCTGGATTTAATTTCTCAACGTTCGCCCATTTAACGACAAGGATTAAATGCATCGTGGAAAACGCTTCGTACGTGTCACTTTTTCTTCAAACTTATGACACAGAGTCGTGGCCAGGCAAACTATCCCAAACCCTGAGTCGACCTTTCAAGTATCCCGTGAAATACGAGTCTCCTCGAGAGGACCACCCAAAACATTGTCTAGGATTACTTCACAGCGTTAAACGCTTCTAATGGCGTGGGCCAATTGGGTCGCGAGCACTTCGTTTAACGAGCCCAGATCTTTTAACCTGGGCCATGAGAAAATTACTGTCTCGCTGATTGACAGTTCCACACTTCACTGTTTCGTCAAAGCGGCTCAACGTCGTTCAATTTTATTGCCCGGTCAAATATTCATTCAGTTACACACCAGAAATTGTATCAGACGTTAACCTTTGCTGCGAGCACTTCTCTTGTCCGAGTTGTTGCAATTCTTAGTAGAAATTTACCTTTCGCTACGATCTCCCTTCGATTCTACAATATTTTACGATAATCCAAATTTATTCTCCCGAATTTGTTCTCTCGCAGACTTCATACTTTCCCTAAAAAGACATTGTTGAAGAATCTTGCAACAATGTTTCACGGTTTTCCAAAATTCCTGCTCGATCTTAGCTCGATTAACCCGGCGACCCCTGAATTTTCTACACACCATAACATTTGTCTCCAGTTTTGGAGTTTCTAGATCCCGAAATCTACTGTTTCACGGACCCTAGAATCTTATCAATGTCCCATAGATCTAAGATTTCACTAAAAAGTCGCCCTAGTCCAAAATCTCCAAGCACTCAATCAACGGGCGCCGCGTCGATCGCATAAGGGTGACACTAATTTTTTACTAATTTTGAAAATTCACGTTCAACCTAACATATTCGAAGAAGCTAGATTTGACTAGGATGTTTCGGATTCGAAGGAGTTCCAGTGTCACCCACCATCACGAATTTCAACTTTCTAGCTTAATTAATTAAATCGCTTTGACTACGTGGGACTTTCAATGGTCGATCGTCGTCGCTGAACGTGTTAAGCTCGAATCCGAGGTAATGACGGCGTGAAAACGTTATGAGTGCCCCATAGATAAGACCTATCCCGACGCCAGCTGATTCGAATACGCGTCGGCGTCGATTAAGAGAGGTGCGAGGTCCCGCGCGTGGCGCGATCTAGTGGCGCGCGCCCGCCTGATGGACAGATGGAAGGCGTATGTGCCACCGGAGTTGTTGTCAGACCGTTTTACTTTACTGCCCCATAAAAGTACCGAGATTTAGACTGCAATACTGCCATGACGTATTGCCGGAGTTCCGCGCGGCCGTGCACGTGTAGGAAGCAGGAACGTCGGATGTGTGCGTGCACGCACGCACCGCGAAGAGATCGTGCCCGCCGCGAGACATCATCCATTCTTCTCTTTCTCGCGTGACATCGCGAGAAACGCGCTATCTGCTCGATCATCCTGCGATTGTCCATTCATCCGCTTCCGCGTCGTTCGATCCACGGTTATTCGACCGATGCTCTTTCCTTTCGACTATTTCGGCTCCGAGTTTTGGAGCAGTTTTCTGGATATTTGAGGTAGCTGATTCGACGAGCTTGAGTTAGGTACCTGAAGCTGGAAGGTTTTTGTAGTTTTAGCGGCACTTAGCTGATTGATCAATTTTCTGCGAAAATTGTTCTGAAAATGTCACAGAAAAAGCATTTTTTGATACCTTGCACGATGGAGATCAGTCCTTGGATAGGTGACTTTTTGGTTGTCACCCGGTTGTAGGACCACCTAGATCTTCGTTGATCAATCTTGTGTAAAAATTTTAATGAAATGAAATTGATTGTGAAGGTGGCATAGCGAAGGATCGCAATATTTGTCGATACCTTGGATTTGGACGATGACGATGATAATAGCTTCGGCAACAGTTGATCGCCGAGAAGACAAGGCTTGCCTGCTGCTTATGATAATTAGAACGACATGGCAAAGGATTCATTGTGCCGAGGTGCGCTATGCAGGAACGTTCGCCGGGAGGATTTTCGACGGGAGATAGGACCCGAGCGAATTCGGCGGGACACGCCAGCGCAATTAGACCGGGCTCGAAAGACAGCGGTTACGGTTCCGTCGCGGAGACACCGTTCTAGACAAATAATTCAATAACGATAACAGGTAGCCGTTATTCGCCGAGATAATGGTGGTCGTAAAAGGTGCGCCGCAAACAGGACAGACGCGTTTAAGCGACGAAACACCGGCCGGCTCTCTCCGCAGACCCGCTCCTCCGAGGGCAAGCGGCGGGGAAGATGGACTCTCCAGGGAGACGAGAAAGAAGCGAGTCGCGAGAGCAATTAGCGTTTCATGGGCGCCGATAAATTTCTCGGTTAATTGACCGCGTGCCTCGCAGGGTGAAACGCCCGGGAAAAAAGCGCGACGACGGTGGCTACTGACGCGAAAGCTCTCCGTGCGCGAGAGGATGCCTCGGCGCAAGGACACAAAGGACCCTGCGGTGTCGGTGGAAAGAGGACGATCGTTGCACCTGCTGGCCCGATGCGTTTCCCTGAATCGATTCTCGCTTTTTTAACCTCGTTCGTTCAATCGTCGATTTTTACGCGGTTTTTAGCGAATCGGAAAACGAGGGGACGATCGTTTGGGGTCGATCAAGATGAGATTTCAGGCTTCTTAGAGTGCCGAAGAATCTGTTAGACTCGGACATACGCTGGGAAAGTATGGATATACCATCTCTAAAGATTTTGTAAAAATTTATTGAAGCAATGCTAGATATGTAATCCGAGGCCTAAATGTTTCAAAGAAGTTGAAGAATCCTCGTTTGCAGTTGATGCAACAGAGAAGATTTTGTTGAAGGGCCCGAGGGTGCTGATCTTCTTGAATTCTTCTAAGAAATTGAGGTTGAATCGATCCTACCCTTTATCAATGTTACATTTTTGGGGAAATGTTTGCAAGCTGTAACTAGACAGCAGATTTTACACATTTTTATTAAAGAAAATAAAAATGTTGATGTATTAATTTGAATTTACTAAAATGATTAATCCTCCGACCGCTGGCAACGTGGAATTCGCGTTCTAAATATTTTGTAAAATTTAGCGGGTGAAATATTCTTTTAATTCAGGTTTCTTTTACTACTCCTTGTTAAACAGAATGCTCAGATTCTCTGAAAATGTAACACTTTTATACCTTTTTAATCTAATTCTTAGGACGCATAACAAATAAAAGTCGTCCTCGGTTAGAGGGTTGAAGATAGATCAAAAATTGTGCATCGCTCCTATCTCTTGCAATTCACGCAGACAATTTTTCTTTTGCACAAAGTTCCGCAGTCTGATTATACCGAATAGGATCTTCGATTTGATCACTAATTAACACAGTGAGCGTCGCAATGAATGTGAAAGGGGAGCTTGAAAAGACGTCCTATCAAAAAACGAAAACGATCTTCGGTCAGAAGAGCTTGAACCCCTGACATCCTTGATCCAAGGAGACTAGCGAATATCAAATTGGCACAAAATCAAACTCGATACCCATAGCGTACAGATAGCGATCTGAAAGGTTGAAGGGGTTGAAACGGCGGGTTGTCTAGAAACGGCGAAGCCTTAAGGTCCATGTGGACTCCATCTGCAGGTCTTGCGGCAGGACTCCAATGGCGCGAAACCAGTGATCCCTGTGCCTATCTCTGGCCAGCATGTATCGGTTGATAGAGCGAGAAGGAGGCCTCCTGGCACCTGCGATTGCTGCGTTGGCCCGTCGAGAGATCGGGGTCAGAGGGTTTCCCTTTCGTTCCGGCAAAACGGACCGTTTGGGAAAAAGGAGCGCGAGCTGGCAGGACGTTGAGCAGCCTTCGTAGGAGGTTTCGGGCTGCGTGTAGTATATGCGTGACTCGTTGCGTTCGTGGTTCTCCTCTCTGGTCGCGTCACGGAAAGAGAGAGAGAGGGGCAGATTAGAGGTTCTAGGACGAGGGACGTGCAGGGTAGAGGAGAGGCCGAGCCCGAGTGGTAGGGGGAAGAGAGAGACGTGTCCGTGGAGGGTTTGGTTGGCAAACGATCCGAGAGATCGCGCCCGAGTCGCGTTCAGCCCGTTTGCGCGTCCGAGCCGCGGGCAGAGCTCTCAGTTGACGCTCAGTTCGGCTCAGCGAGGCCAGAGAGAAGAAAGGGAGTCTTTTCGTGTGTGTAAACATCGCGCGTGTGTGTACCGCGGCAGCCACGGGGACCGACTGGGCCTCTCTCTACCTGAGGAACCTCTCGGGCCGCGCTCTCCTGGGGTCCGCTACCTGACTTTCGGGGACCGGGCCTAGCAAAAAAAAAGACGGAAAAGAAAACGGGACACGACGGTGGCCCGCCGAGGGACCTCTGGCCACGTCCGACCACGAACGGAACGTTTCTCCTGGCCCGCCGCGCGACCGGTCCGATGATGCTGTTGCAACCCTCTTGCGACAACCCGCCCCCCGGCCAGCAAAAGGATTAATCGGGAAGAGAAGACTCGTTCGAGGAGCGGATAGAGTTTGATCGCGGACACACGGTTCACACGGTTCACACGGTTCTCGTCCTCTTGACCGAGAGCGAGCAGAACTGGTGAGAGCGGAGTGCGGATCTACGAAACGTGTCGCGTGTGCATCCAGCGAAAGTTATGAGCAGGGTGACAGTTTCCGTCGTCGGGGCAGCTGGCGGGACGACATGCAGCTGGAGCATGACCCGGCCCGGGACGACGACACGAAGATCGGAGCACTGAGAGAGAGAGGAACGTGGTCGTACTTGTGCGTACGACGGGACGCGTACGATCCTCTCCTCGAATGCCAGGCCGCCTCGATTGCCAAGTGTTCCCGAGACATGTTCTAGCCGCGTACTGTTCGCCGATCTGTCCGCTCCGCCGTGGCCCGAGGATCGCGAACTGACTTCTCCGACTCGACCGGATATATACATAGATAGTTAATTCCTAAACGAAGGGAGACCGTAGCCGCTAACTACCCTCGCGCGAAGGGTGCCTCAACGACTGTTAACTAAAGGGTGCTGTGTCGTTTTTGTTTTGATTTGTTCCAACCAATTGTCCATCTCTCGCCTCGCGCCACCGTTCCGGGACCTGTCCTGCTCCATTTCATCGCTGGGAATCGCCTGGAATCGTTGGGAATCGCCTGGAATCGCTGTTGGACGACCCACCGACCACGTCCCCGCACGTGGCCCATCAACCTCGATCAACCTCGGTCGTCGTCTTGGACGTTTGTCGCGTTGGTGGTGGTGGTGGTGGTGGTGGTGGTGCATGGACCTTTTCTCGACGGATTTGCTACGCATTTTATCGCGCCCCTGGGCGTCCTCGTCTCCCTCTCTCACGGTTCCTTATCTCTTTCTCTCTTTCTCTTTCTCTCTTTCTTCCTCTCTCTCTCTTTCTCTCCTTCGTTCTCCGGATCTTCTTTCTCTTTCCCCGTTTCACTCGAACGGTGCTCGTCCGCCGCCTTTCTCCGTCACTCCATCGGATCCTCGTTCTCTGTCCGTCTGTCGGTGCCGTCTCCCTCCACCCCCTGCTCACCTACCCCTCCACCTGTCTGACGCGCCGCTGCACACCCTCTCCTCGCTCCGCCAACCCTGCTCGCACGGTCTCGCACCCGTACGATTTTCCCTATCCCCACCTTCCGCGCGCCTCCTCTCTGCCTTCCGCACGCGTTTTCTTTATTTATTCCGCGATTCCACGGAGCAAACGCTTGATCGCTGCTTCGGTATACGATGATTCTTCCCGCGTTCCTCCTTTCCTCGCCGTTTTGAAATTGCCTCGCGTCTCGTCTCGTCCCGTCCCGTCTCGTCCCGTCTCGTCTCGGTCTCGACCTGTCTGGTCCGGTCTCTCGCGGGTATTTTGATACCGCGAATCCGCTTCTGCCTCGTCGCGACGACCGGCCTCGTAAACTCAACGATAAAAACTGCCGTTTTAACGCGATCCCTCTCCCACCGCCCACGCTCTATCGCTCTCTCTCTCTCTCTTGCTCTCTTTCCGTATATATATATATCTGTACATCTATATCCCTCTTTTTCTCTTCCTGTCTCTCTTGCTCCCGCGGCCCTGTTTTCGTTTCTCCCTCTCCTCCACCGTTTCTCCGTGCGAGGCGCACCGTCACCTCGGCTATCTCACCTTGCCTGCTCCCGCTCGTCCTTGGACTCGCGTACACGCGGCGCGCGCCGGTTGAACGCAATCGCTCGATCGCTGAACAACGCGATGCGATCGTGGCTCCCGGTTGACTGGTGATCCTCGCGCGTATCGTCTCGACGCACACACGCATTCTCTTTCTCTCTCTCTCCTCTCTCTCGCTCTCTCTCTTTCTCCTTCTCTCTTTCATACTTTTTCCCGCACGCTCGCCCTGTCTGTCACGACCGTCGATCGCCGCCACCGATCCTCGCCACCGATCGATCCCCTTCGATCGGCCACGGAACCATCGTCGTCATCGTCGTCGCCGCCGTCAATTAACGCCGACATCGCCGCCTTGCCGGGCGTCGTCGTTATAACACCGGCAATCAACTGTCACCATCTGCACCATCGCCGATCACGTGGCTTGCTCGACGGCGACGCTGTACGACAATGTTCACGCCGCGCCGCTGTGCGGCTCCGGCGTGGGCCACCCTGGCTCCGTCACGCCGATGGGGACAGCCACCGGAGCGGGGAATTCCACCGGGGTGAACTGGTGGCTGCCCATGATGAACGGATCGCTCTACGAGGACAGCCCGCCACAGGTCCCGCCGACTGCCTCCAGCCTCGTCTCGATCCAGCAACAACAGCAGCAACAGCAAGCCACGTCGACGCCAGGCTCGCACCAGCAAGCCACGACACCGACGTCGCCCGCCGTGCCAGCCTCCTCGGCCGCGACAGCACCCCCGGCACCGACAGCCAGCGCCAGCTCGACCTCGCCGAGCGCCTCGTCGGTCGCGAGCAACAGCGCGCCAGGTCCTCTCCATATTCCCGCGAAAAGGCTGACCGCGACGCCGGCCGCATCCTCCTACGGCGAGGTCGGCTGCGTCGAGTCATCGGGCGCGCCCGCCGCTGGACCAGCGGGCGTCATTCGTCATTCCCACTCGTCCTCGGCGGGCTCGCAAGGCGGCTGGAGCTACAGCCCCCATCACCCGCAGGACTCGCACTACTCGTCCGCCGCGGCCGCGGGTGACTCGTTGAACCATCATCAGACGTACGGGGGCAACAACCCCCCGACCTACTACAACCTGGCGGCCGACCCGACCTCCACCTCCGGCTCCGCCAGGGACAACCGGAAGGCGGCCGGCTCCCTCAGCTTCTGGTCGCCGGCCGCGGCAACCGCGGGCTCCGCGGCCTCCGTCGCGTCCCCGACCGACTACAAGTCCTACAACTCGGCCGGCGCGGCCACCACCAGCTCCTCCACCGGGGGCTCGTCCTCCGTGGCATCCGGCGCCACCGACTCCGGCGTTTCCTCCTGCCATCAGAGCTTTTCGCAGAGCTGGTGCAACTACGCGCCCTATTCCTCCGCCAGGCATCATCCGGTCGACACGGCCGGCCATCATCATCCGCACTCGCCCGCTGGCGTCCCTTATCTGACGCCGTCCGCGGCGGACGACCGGGGTAGGGTCGCCGCCGCCATGGTCGCCGAGGGCGCGTTCCCCCATGACGGATACGGGGGACTCAGGAATTACGGGGCACCCGAGCCCGTCACATCCAGCCCGTACCCACCACCAGGTAAGCATCAACTCCGGCCACGATTCTTCCTTTCAGATCTCCATCTCACGGTACAGTATCGGCGAATCGTTGACATGTTTAACCACGGCACGGTCACGTAGCTCTAACGACTTGATAAAGTTCAAGGCCTTCGGGATGAGGTCGCGTTACGTTTTCGCTGCTACCAAGCTCTATACTTTCTATCTTGCTATCTTATTAGGGGGTTTGCGTCTTTCTCGGCTTCGTTGCGCGTCGATCTTCGGGCGATTCCGTTGGGAAGACGTTGCGCCTTCGATTTTAGTCCTTGGAGGTGATTTCGTTGACGAACGTAGCATTACAGCGAAGGCAAAGGGTTCGTTCTTCGAATCGACGCCTCAGTATCCTATGATTGGGTTAAACGAAATGCGAAAAACGAGTACCTAGGTTGGTTGATCGTACAGGGGTTGAGAAAATCGGAGACATAATGATCGGGAACTGGTAGCAGCGAAAGCGTAAGGATCGTGCTCCGAATCGATTAGGAACCGGGCCCGGAACAAACGGCGACCCGGCTTGGGAATGTGAAAAACCGCCGGCGAAACTGGCCCCCGTCGCATAAACGGGTCGTCGAGTCATCGTTCATTCACGTATTTGGTCATTCTCTTTTGTCCCCACTCGGGCGTCCTTTTCTCGGCTCCCTGGAACCCATGAAACGTCGCATGAGCAACAACGAACGCCGCCGGGTTTATTGGCGGCCGTAACTCGTAAACTCTGGCGTGCGCCTCCGATCAGCTGATCCGTTCCATGACCCCCGCACGGCCGCGGCCGTTCAGTCTTCTCTCCTACTAACGGCCGTTCTCGCTTTCCTCCTCCCTGTTGTCGTCTGCTTCACGTCCCCCCTTCTCATCGTCGTCGTCGTCGTCGTCGTCGTCGCTCTTGTTCTAGCATGTCGCAATTTCAATTCACGATATCGTCCGATGCCACCTCGTTTAACACTGGGATCAGTCGACTTTCGAACAGTCCGATTTCGAGGGGCTGATAAGAACTGGTTGGGATAGGTCAGCTGGCGTTCGGCTGCATGGAAATCTTGGTCTTCCACGAGCTGCGCTTTTCAATTTCCGATGGAATCGTCCGAACCTTTTTATCCGATGCTACGAACGCAAGACATTTGTCGATCATCTTACAAGCTTCAGGAATAATTAGCGTTTGACCATCGAGCCGTTGCAAGACGAAGTTTGTTCTCTTAGGTCCCGCAAAAGGGACCCGCTTAATCGACCCAACTAGAACATTTCCGATCGCGCCAAAGCATCCGCGAGAAGTCCAGCTGTTTTCCACAATCGACGAGCTAATTAACTTTCGGCGAATTAACACCGATCGCCTAAATCCTCGGGACGCGTTCTCCTGGGAACTAATCGCGTCTCGTTTCCCCGTGACGAACTCCGCGATCTCAGAAGCGGACGCGTTGATATTCTTATCAGAGGAGGAGACAACGTGCCCGATCAGCGCAGAAGGAAACATTCCTCGCGGGCGAACGCTCGCCGAGATTTTTACCGGCGATTGGACCCCGCTGCTCGGGGAAAAGGCGCGTCCGTCGCCGGAATCGTAAAGAATAGAAAAATACGAGACACGCGGGCTGCTCATACGGGCACGCTCGGCCCGATAAACGAGATATCGTTCGCGTGATCCTCTCGGCCTCGCCGCTCCGCTCTGCTCCGCTCCGTTTAATCGTATGCGTGCGGCTGGGAGGTGCACGCGCAGGCGTGCGATACATACAAAGTAGCGGAATACGAGCGCCGAGTATAGTTTACCCGTCACCCAATAGATGGCAGCTCCATTATCTTTGTTCGTTCGTATCGGGCCAGACCCGGGCTGCTATCACCGACGTCTCCGAGATCCCGAGGCTTCCCACAAACGTCAGGGAAACGGGTCTGACAGTGTCAGACGCTCCGAGCCACTGCCAAGTTGCTTCATTCCCGTTCCGACGAGGTTTCTTCTTTGCACACGAACGTTCCCCAGGTGTCGTCCTTTAGGGGATGAAGGTGGGCATGCTTTCTATAGCAGAGCATTCGGCGTCTCAGACACAGTTTGTTGGAAGAAAAGAGTTTAATTTGCTTGTGAACACGATTAGAGAGCAAGAATCTCGTCTAGCTGACGGAGAGATCATTTCATTTCGCGTTTACGTCAGTTTCTGAGTCAATCGGGCAATAATCGTTGTATGTCGAAACTTGGAAGTCTTAATAAGTCTTCTTTGGCTGTTCCAGATTTTGATGTATTCTATGAACGAATTTCTTTGTATTCTTCAGACTCGCTTAAATGCATTCGCGTTAATAATAATAATGATAATAATAATAATAATAATTTCTGTTAAAATTTTCCGGTCGCTGACAGGTCCCAAAAATTGTTCTAAAATTTGTCGGACGCCTGTAGGCGCCGACAGTAAGCCAGAAGCAAATTCCCGAAAGCAATTCTCAGATTGCGTTATTACGACTTGTTCCCTCGCATCCGCGAATTGCTATCGCCACGGAAAAATTTAGCGCGAGTCCTCGGCCCCCAATAAGAGTGTCTGCCAAACAAATGAGCTGACCGTAGATATTTCGAAAGTTGTCGGAGCCTCGGAACGCGGCAGATCTTCATTAGGTATCGAACCGGCGCGCCGCTGGAAACAGGTTACAAAGTAGCAACCGAAAAAAGACGACGCCCGAACGAGAGACGTCTCCGTCTTTGACGTTCATGGACAATTTGCGAACGGGGTCTCGGACGGACACGCACCTTCGCCGGACGGACAGGTGGTGTCGCACGGACTACGAATCCCTTAATCCGGCGAGATAGCATCTTCCTGGTCGGGGAACATTGTCCCAGAAAGGCGCCCGGCTGCGACCCGGTGCCCGTGTCCTCTTTAAAGACCACTCCGGTACCCCTAAACGACGGGCGTCGTTTCGCTTTTTAATTTATCGCGCAATCATCCGCGCCCCCGGACTCCGCCGACTAACTTTAATTGGCGGTCGACGCGAATTTACGGGCCGACCTGATTAGAACAGTCCGCGACCAGCGATTACGGTATCGACTCCAAACGAGTTCCCCGAGTACCTTCGCTATCTTCAGAATGGCTCGGATTAATTTGTTCGCGGGCTAAATCGCTTCTTGCTGGTTCTTGACAGGCGACGAGATAAACAATGGGAAGCTTGCGGTTGCAGGAGATCGATCATATTCGACGTGTTCTGATTTGTCGAGGTTCCCCACTTTCATCGGACAGTCGTCGGTGTTTCTTTAGATCGATTGTCCGTCTTTTTTAATCGCGAGCAATTTTAAATCGACCCGAGCAAAGTGAAATTTTCATACTGAAACGGCTACATCGTGGCTAGTCTGACGATCTCTGTGCATTTGCATTGCAACTGCAAGTCTGCGATATTGACGTTAGTTAACATTGATGATTTACATCTGCGTCACAGGAGATATTTTATAGAACAAGATGAATCCTGTTTCTATCGAGATTTTTACAGAGTAACTTGTAAAAATGAGAATTTGCAATATTATCGTCGATAAACGTCGAATCAAATATTATCGTCGATAAACGTCGAATCGAATATTATCGATAAACTTCTTTATCACAAGAGACATTTTAAAGAACAAAACGAGCCTTCCTCTTATTAATGTTCTTCCAGAATAACTCGTAAAAATGAGAATTTGCAATATCGACGTCAATGAACACTGACGATTTACCTCGACCTCGCAAGAGACACTTTAAAAGGCACAACAGATTATTGCATCATCGAGATTCTCACACAATAACTTCTAAATAATTTCAAAAAATAAATTTTACATAATTTTAAATTCATCCCTGGGTCAACGAACCGTTCGTTTCGAGCTGGCTAAAAAATTCACAAAGGGCGCAACAAATAATTCTAGCCATCATAATAATTTTTAAATATTCGTCCCTCGGCCTTCCGCTGCCTTTCGTTGGACACAGAAAAATCCGATTAGCTCTGTTCATGCTCGTCAATGGATCGGGACGATAATCGTTGACGACGGTGTCCTGGGTGCATTGATAAGTCGTCGGTTTCCGGGTGGGTGCATCGATTGCTCTCTGGCCGAGCTTCCTCGCTGGCATCGAGCGAGCATGTCCTGCGGTATCTAGTCAGAAATCATCGAGTAAGCCGAGCCGGCCGCGTCGATACTAAAGCTGTTTGCTCGGCGTGTTTGTCCCGCGTTGTTCGCGACACGCTCGCACGCCGCGAATCGATACGTCATTTATTCCGCAGTTCCGTGCGCGCACACATACCCCGGTCCGTGCACGCTGACATTCGTGAGAATCCTGACCTTTGTTAAATCATTTGCATATTCCGGCGTTTTAGTGGGCAATAAATTCCTGTCGCTTAGGCGATCGCGCCGCGATACCTCTCGCCGAGCGGGCGCGCGAACGCTGACACCGGGGGCGGAGGGAGGCGAGTGGAAAGCAGGGAGAAAGCGAGAGAGCGAGAGAGAAAGAGAGAGCAAGGGAACGATTGTGGAAATAGGGGAGGAGACTAGAGAGGGAAGACCGTGGAAAAGACGTTGCGGGATCTAATAAGCGAGGAGGAAAAGATGAAATTCGGACCGCCAGTCTTCCGCGGAAAACGAACGCTTATTGGCTCTGCCGAAATTGTTTCAGGCGTTATTTACTGGGCGATTCCGAGCCTAGTTCGTGGCGCAAATTTGCATTCTCTCATAGCCATTTTTTTGCCATTTTTTGGCCATTTTCGTCGTAAGCGAAAATCACGAGTCTTGCGTTTTTATTTCTGTTCTAGCCGATATCGCGAGCTTTATTCTTCGATCATTATTTTAGCTGAATTCGTGAGTCTAATACTTTGATTATTATTTTAGCTGAGATCGCGAGCCTTGTTCTTCGATTTTTATCCTAGCTGGAATCGCAAGCCTTGTTTATTGATTTGGACACTTAAACCTACCTCGATCAAATGTCCGGTTCCCCATTTTGCAATTATTTAGATTATAGAAACGTTTTCACGGGAAATTATCAGATAAATTATATTCTTAGGAGTACTACAATG